TTTTATTCGGTGATAAAATGTTTCTTAACGGATTAACAGCATTAGATTCGGCGTATAAACCGAGTAGAGGAATATTAAAAAAAAACATGGATGCCAATCTAGAAAACTCGAGATGTTTATTCAAAGGGTTGGTTTCCTTAGAAGAATATCTTTAATTAAAATGATGGAAAGAGTAATTAGTTATTTTTTTAAATTTTTTGTACACTAAGGATTTCTTTTTTTTTACTTGAAAACATTCATCAGATGCAAAAGACATCAAAGAATAGATAAAATAGGTTTTAAATCATTTGACTAAGAATTTATGACGGTGAAAAATTCAAAACAAGCCCTCATAATACACGTCGTCTAATGGCTAAGAAATGAGTGCAACAGAAAAAAATAAACATGGTAGCTAGGTATGATATAAATATACTTTCTGGTTTTGCATTTGTTAAAAAGGACTGAACGAAATATTATTATTTCTCCACAATCACTGTATAATAATATATATTGCATATTGTAATTTTTCCTCCCCTGTTTGTACTCAAATAATACTGTTTTGGCGTATCGAAATATCTCAAAAATTTACACTGTGAAAAGTTTCTACGAGTTGAGTTTATTTACAGATATACATATATATAATTTTTTTTTTTACAATCCTGTTTACTACTATGCACCAGTCACGCACAGTCGGTGTAACAGCTAAAATCACGCGAGCCAATTATACTGTGCCTCCACTGTAGTACGTGGTGCAACGTAAGGGTGGAAGGTGCAAGTTTCCTATCGTTTCACGATACGATTAGAGACCCTTATTTGTAAATCTAATCGAAAATAAAGAAAAAAAATAAATATTCGGAAAACCCTATACTTTACGAACATTTGGTTGTGGGGTAAAGTAATTTGTAAACTTAACGAGTATTTCGGCCCATTACGCGGTGTGATGTAATTATTTAAGTCTACCTACTCCATGTATTATTTCATTGCTTTCAGACGCTACCTCATATAGTTCCATCACGTCGCATCGACGTCTTTGCACGAGGGACCTGCTGTTTATCGGTCCCTATCATAGCATAACATCAATAACACGTATATCAGCGCAGACAACCAGATTGCGTTATTCAATATCTTCTAATCCACCTTGTATTTAATACAAAAACGAAAAAATTAATTGAAATGTTTAACTTAAAACATCGAAAATCACTTAATTAAAAGTAGTAAGCAGTGCAAACAAAATTATTATACCTATAACCACCTATCGCATTACTAAAATTTGTGTAAAACGTCGTGGAAAAAACGGTTATGTGTAAATTGTTTTATAATGCAATTAAAATAATTTATAATACTTATTTTTCTGTTAGCGCTTTATCAAATTATACACATATAGACTTAACATTATAAAAATAAAAGATAAACTTTGAATATTATAATTTTTTTACTCCTTTAAATATTCCTTGTTTCTTAAATGAAAAAAAAAAACAGACGAACTTGAATTTCTTTAATTAATTTTGTACATATTTTATATTATTATATTAAATTTATAATAAACAATAAGAAAAACATATATTTATTATTTATTTATTTGTTTAACCTGTTTAACGACCAAATGAAAGAAGTACAGTTATTTTTGTCTATGTAAGTTATTATTACAGACAAGAAGTAAATAATTATTATCTATAGGTATAATGATGAATAAAATAAATGTTATATAGCTGTTTAATTTTTTTTAAATATGAAATTATAATGATAGTAGTTACATTATACATAGGGTTCTTGTTGTTGGTTCAGAAAAAGTAGTATATCAGATAGTCCTGCCGAAATTAATATAGGATCATATTTTCCGACGACAGAACTTTGGGAATAATTCAACAGCCGCAAGATTTTGTCTTCATTGAATAGTTATTAAGTTTGTCCATTGAGAGAAAATAGTTGTTATTAATTAAATTAAAACTAATCACTGGCGGAGAACAAAATTGATTCGAACGAATAACCCATTGGACTATTCGTTACAATGACCTTACATTCGAAAATCGTTCGATCAACGTGTTTGGAAAATTCACGATACGCTGATTTGTAAAATAGAGAAATAAGTATACGTATTTGACTGCCGTGTAGTTTAGTACGATATCGCACTCGCTTATCACATCGGTAATCGTTTATGTCACGCAGTGCTGGATTCTTATCAGGGTTATTACCTATTTCGGTGTCAAATAATGTAATACTAAATAGTAACCCGACATATTTTACATTAAACAATTATCGAGGCTCCCATCCCTAACATTTGGTAGTATAATATATTATAACACAGCGTGTATTGTACAATTATACACTGTATACAATACTGTATATACTAACCTTCTGAAAAAATGTTAAGATTAGTTCGTAGTAGGAGTATCAAAAAAGGAAAAACATTTTTTTTAAATAATGAAAATGTATATAATTGTTTATAATAACAAATTATGAACAATTTATTTTGTCAAGTTTTACAAGAGAAAATTATTACTAAGAAAGCTGTTCACTGAAGTCTCCAACAAGACTAATTTTCTCTTTAAAGACAAAATATTTCAATTTTAATTGTTCTATTATTTATTTTTTATTTTTTTTTTTTAGTTATTTGATCCATGCTAAATTCTAAAATCAATAGTTTACTTATTACTTTTTAAAGTACCTATGTGTAAATTAAAATTTTAAATTCACGTAATAAATAAACGATAATTTTACATCACATAATATATAATACAAAATTATGTTATTTAAAGGTTTAGTACATCGATCATCATTTATAATATTTAGTAATATGCTATTTATTTAGTATAAATATTTAAATTCAATTTATCGAAATACTTCATATAAACTATACGTTTTTCATTGAAATTTTGCGTTTTATAAATTATAATTAACTTCTAAACAAATTAAATCTTGCATTATAGGATTGAAAAATATATAATTTTTCAATGTTTAATGAGTAATATGCCTCATGGTAGTTTGACATTATATAATCAAAGCAACACAGCCGCCAAAGTTAAAAGTAGACATTAAAGTAAAACATCGGCTTTAAATAGCTTTATTTTGAATTTCTCGGAAAATATTCACCAATTTATTCAAATTAATAACTCAGTTGATCATATTTAAAATTTGATGTGAAAATTATACTTCATATTTTGCTAAATTATCCGATCAAAAAAAAATTCTACTGGTTTTTTACAAATCATATCTAATAATAATATTAATTTTTCATAAATATAGATTAATTAAGGTCAATTTATAAATAAATATTTTGCCCATTATTTATATACCATAGTTAGTAACTATAGATATAAAATCGGGATAGAGGTAGATGGAAATATGAAAATAGTCGTTCAACAGAAATTATGTTGGACAACTGCTTTAATTAAAATTTTGAAAAATAATTATTGATAATCATATGTAGTAAACCAATGAATAACTACCAAAAATTAATATAATTGAACATTAATAATGAACATTTTATTTAAAAATTCTTATTTTTTTAGCGTTATTAATGGACATAAAATTTAATTAAATTTTTTAATTAATGTTATTGATATGAAAACACAAATATTTCTCCGTGTGCCATGAAGATACACATGAGAAATTCGATTTTCTTATAGAATAGAATAGGTTTATAATAACAATAATATATACATATGAATATTTTAAAATCTGCATCAAATACATTACTAAATCAGTTAATCACTATAGTTACTCGTAATAAAACCATAATAAACTAAACTTTTGTTTGAATAATTTATTCGCATAGGAATGTCTGTCATTTCTGAAATTCAGGAAATACCGACGAGCTTCCTATTGCATAGGAATGTTATGCATCAGCTTTTCGAAGTGTAATTTATTCATTCAAAGTCAGGGAGTTGGTCGGAAAAAATAACGTTGTTGCATTTAATTATTTTCATACGGTTTTCTGCGTTCCGATCTGACAACCGAATAAAAGTCTTACCATTAAGCAGTGGCAGCGGTTGATATGAATTTGAAACTATAATGTGAAATGGTTTGCTCTATGTTCTGTTTCGAAAAAAATTATTTTTGCATTCATTTTTGCGCATGATAGATTTTTAAACGTAAAAAAAATTATCAAATAATTAGCCCTGGTGCGTTATTGGAACAGAAGCGTTGATCACCGAAAGCGGATTAACAGAATTAATTGCCCAACACGTAAAACGACTTTGGCTGACGATGTTCTGATTGGGCGCAATATTGTTTTTGGTGTTAGATGCTATATAATAAGAGGCTATTAGTAGACGGCAGTAGCTGAAATGCGAGAAATGACACGTGTCAATTAGAAGCATTAAACTCGCAGTCGGCGAGGGATTATGAAGAGGGATGAAGATAGAGCGTCGCGGGACTGCTGCATTTGTGACAAATTCTTATATCTTTGCGAGCGAATTTCGGGACACGCATGTAATAGACACGCGTTCGACACGTGTCCGAACCCTCTAGTTGATGTATACGGTAGTGTTAAAAAAACAAAAAAAAAAAACAAAATTATATAAAAACGAAATAAAATAAAAGATCAACACATAATATAGTAAAAATTCCGAATGAAACACGTCGTTGTCGTTGTCGTTGTCCAATGTGAAATGCCCGTCGATGTGCGTTTTGGGGATTCAAAAACATATATATATATATATATATATATATATTGTATACATAGCGCGTGTATGTAATCCATATACGATATACCTATATAAGGGTCTGCGAGAGTATCCCTATTAAAACGGAGAGAAAAACTTCGGAGCCATCAACGCCGCCTGCCGTCCGTTTATTGCCGTCGAATCGTAAAAAAATCCTGCTGAATTTTCAGCTCGTTAACTCGTCCTCCGACCGTCCTACCGATCAAGAATATCGTTTTATCTTTCTCTCTCTCTCTCTTCATTTTTTTTCCATCTACTCTCCCCCCCCCCTGGACCAAGGTCGTATTGTTTGACATTTCCCATCGGCCGCGTCGGCGGCGGTGGAGTTTATATTCTCCCCGTACGTGTTCTGCTTACCATGAGCAATGATCTCGCCAGCCTCTCGGGTCCAATAGTTGATCGACTTGGGATGCGCCTCGGACAAGCACTCGAGCGTCAGCGATTGGCCCACGTACGCTCCGATCAGCTGGTTCTGTATCCATATCATCGGCGGGACTGAAAAAACGACACGCGAGGTGAACAACGGCCATCGAGACACGGACGATAAAGATATATATGCCAACAACTGGGGGGGGACGATCGTATGCAAACATTATGTTGTACGCGCGGAATGGAATATTGTGTTCTTAGCGAACAATAGCATTATAGTGGTAAATGTTTGCGCTGTTGAAACAATAATTATAGTTACGCTTTTAGTAGTTATTCATTTTTTTTTTTTTTTTTTTTACATTAAGAAGTAGAAAGAAAAAAAGAAGATAATTCTTACAAATATCCCGTCATACCGATTATGCTAATTCGACCGAACAAACATAATATAAGTTTTTTGTTCGAATATCACTCGTATTTTCTAGACAGTTCAAGTGTGACGAAACAGTTTTTCAGGTCCTTATATGCGCGCAGGAGTGACGAGGATTCTCGAGAAGAAACGTGGATCAATCAATTATAGCCATATTGTTTTAGAAATGTAAAAATAGTTTACTTACAATTTACCACTAACATGATGCGTTTGCTGACTGATGGTGGCACGCCGTTGGACGCTATGCACAAATACGCTCCCATGTGAGAGCGACTGATTCGTGTCAGATTCAGGACTGGCCCTTCAACACTGTGCACTATAACACATACAAAAACGCGGAATGATAAAATTATCCATGAACGTATAATACATGTATACAAATATCACATATAGGATTAAAATTTACAGTGTTTTTCTATATTCTACTAAAAATGGATAAATCAATACAACAACTGCAGTATTATACATTCAAAATAAATGCTTAATCCGAATAAAAATAAGCGAAATTCACTTGGCTTACAACTAATTTTAATTCAAAGTACGTTTTCGTATGGCAAAATATATTATAGGTTCGATGCAAAAAACTTTTAAATTGAAAACCAGATCCATAAAGTCATAAACCAATATTTATTATTTTAAAAAAAGTAAAACTGTTCCAAATTTTTTGAATTTTTTTAAGTAAATGCAGTTACTAATTAATTTAATAAAATCGATATTTAAGATACTTTTTCTTATTTTGTATATTTAATAAACGAATAATGTCATGTATAATATTTTACATTCATAGAAACTATTGCACTTTAAATACATCAAAAGTTATATTACTAGTGGTAATCTATCCGTAACGTTTTACTGATTTCATGAATAGAAATTATTAAATCCATGAATTTAACGATATCTTAAGTAAGACATGGCCCATGAATACAATTTCTTAAGTGACATTTTATATTTTATACTATAAAAAAAATAAATAATAATTATAATAATCATTTAACGATTGGTTTGAAAAATAAGTAGTTGATATATACACTCACACAATAACTAAAATTAGTTCAACTCTTCATATTGTTTTTTAAATACATACGACACATAATAAAAACTATCAAAACTTGAGAATAGTTCAGAAATCGAGATAACGAGCTGTTCCGACAGTAAACGTTATAAATAGGTATTTAGTCCAGCAAAAATAATTCAGGTAATCTACGGCAACATAATACAATACTATGTTGTGAGTTTGTCGCATTCAATCCTAAATAAACTTAAGAATTCAGCTATCATATGGTAATTATTTATTATATTTAGACCCATGCGAAACTACATTATTAATAATATCGTGTCAACTCTAGATAAAGTGTTCATCGATCGATGTCGAAAGATTTACGTACATACATATAAGTGTAACTTGGGGTTAACGATTAAATTATTATAATAATATATACATAAAATACTTATGTTATAATATATATATACCATTGCTCTTAAAAAAAACTATTCTCTGTGAAAAAATATCTGGTGTATCAGTTTATATTCCTAAAAAACGATTGATATAGTCATTGATTAAATATACAATAATTTAACAATAATTAAACAAATATTTAATCAATGATATAATAGAAGAATGAAATTCCATAACAAGGCAAGTTGAACTTTTAATGTTGGTTAATAACGCTAAATAGAAGCATCTAAAGTTTGTTACTCATATTTGTTCGAAAAACTTTTGAGAAATTCAAAACATGGCAAACCCCCCCCCCCCAAGTATTAAATAGAACTTATTTCCTATATTTGATTTTAATTTGAGGATGGTTGAATTCACTCCTTCTGGTCGAAATCGTGTATAAGGGCACACGAAAAAAAACATATCGCGGTAATATACGATTCATTCAGAATCTAATAATCTAATATGAATTACTTAACCTGTAATGTCTACGAGTTAAAATAGTTTAATATTTATATTAGGACCGAGTTATAAATAATTGTGGTTCTTAAAAGAGTTCGGTTGTTTTATAACACGCCCATTCATTCGCAAACACTCGAACGCATTTTTGCTATGCAACACGTGCGACGTGCTATAACATTGACACAATGCACTTAACAGCGGATTTTGATCTGATGAGTATTAATCCAAGTGTTTTAATCGAATCACCAATCATAACAGTTTTACCGATAAGTATCTCTATTTGACGGGACGATGACAAGGTGGTTTGGAAACGAACGGACGGCAACTACCCTCGTTAGAATCGCTCAACGGGAGAGCGCTACTTGACCCCGGACGCACGTAAAAAGCCGACCACATCATCTCTGTTTCGTGTATTTTTTATTTTTAAATTTATTTTTATTTTTTATTTACGTCCATTTGATTGACAATCAAAAGCCGGCACTCGACATTATTGCCCCTCGTTAGAAATATAACGATTTTTCCGTAGACATCAACGTTGCTCCTACACTGTATCGCGGTCTACAAAACGTGGGTGGGACGAGGTTTTTATACGCTTCTACGAATACATCGCCACTGTCGCCATATTTAAAAATTTATCCTTCGGCGGGTTAGAAAATGTTTTAACAATATAATATCGTTTATTAGTCTAAAACAAATACTGCGAGGCTTTGCGGTGTACGCAAATATCACATACGTAATTGTGCAGTGACACCGTGTTACATTAGGATCTGCCACGCAATACATTTTGTATTTATAAAAATCAAAACACTATATGGGTGTACTGTCAGTAGTCACAAGTAGTCACATAGTACATTAGAAACGTTATCCAAATGTATTTGGTCGTGCGAAATTAAAATTTCAAGCTCACACATTATGTAATCGTATATAATTTATTTAATTTTTTTTCGCTTATATTATATTTTTCTTTGATTTGAGCTATTATAATAAGCAGTATAATCAGCATCATATATACTTAGACAATTTTAAAATGTAAACAATGATAGTTGGTATTCAATACAACAATTTTTAATGAAATCTATTATCATTAATCAAAACATCAGCTAGCCTATTTAATATATTTTATTAAAATAAATTTTAGACAATACTCACATTAAAATTGTCATAACATTTTACCACTTAAAAATGATGGTTTTTAAAAACGTCAATATGTTTCAGTAACATAAATTCAACATATTTTTAATCATATACCTAATACGCAAAATTTCAAGTTATAAAAATCATCAATTTTATATTCAATTTTAAAAACGAATGATAAAACCATCATATTGTAACAGTTGTACAGTAACATCACTGTAATATTACATTAGTGTTACGAATTTATTATTATAATTTATTATACAAGTATTTAAGATTTTTAAAACAAGTGTGAGAATGTTATTCAAAAGTAGGGCCCTTTTGCATTAGATTCAAACTCGATATGTCGTCTTCAGATTAGAATGATTTCCTTGAGTAGAAAAAATATATTATAATCACATAAATATTATTTAAAATATTATTATATACAGTCATTATGCCGATTTGGTAAGTGGATCATACTCAAAACTGTATAAAACTGTTCTGCTCATTCCACATATACAATATATAGATAAATTCTTGGTAAAGTATGATCAATTAAATGATAAGTCGTGTAACATCAATCCTGAGTGACTTAAAAGATAGGGAATATAAAACTTCTTCAAAATGTAGTAAATACACCAAAAGTATTCGGAACCTATGTACGATACTATGTAAATAGTGAAAACTTCTGGCAAGTTTTACATTTGATTTACTCGAAATAAAAACTTTTTTTTTAACTTCTCAACGTTTTTACAGTTAAACGATAATCATCATGGCTTTTCTAATTTATCATTGATGTCTCAATTGGATAGAAAAATATCTTGATCACAGATGACATAAAATAAAACATCTCTAACAAATTTGAATAGTTTATGTTCATCATCATATACTACTTTTTTTTTTCTGTGTTCACTATTCACAACAGGAATCATTTTTCGCATACATTTTTTCTCTTTGATATATTTTGCAATAAATTTTTTTTTAATTTAATTAATAAGTGAAAAGCTAAATAGAAAAATACAAAGGCACATGTAATAAAAGTAATGGACTATTTATACTTTAAATAATTAAAACAAAATTGAATATAAATATAATTGACATGTGTCACAACACTATATAATGTAGTATACATATTTATAGTTCTACATTATCAATTCAAGAAGAATAACAAATTCATTGTAATTTATTAACAGAACCATGTATCTTATAGTCCTATATGTCACAATATAATTAAAATAATTGACTTAATAAAATTAAAAGAGTAAACACATGTGGTTGGATGCACAATTTTATTAAATTTTCGCTGTATTAATAATTTAAATTTATGTAAATACAATATGACTATAATCAGAATTATTATCACACAGAAGAACATAAAATATGATTTAAACTCAATATTCTTTGACATGATATAATTCAATCCAATATTTAAGGTATCTCACAGTTAAATTAATGACATTTACGAATAATATTGCACTCTGTTTTTAAGCTCATGGATTAAAAATGATTGAACCGACAAACTATTCACTTCCTCTCTAACGTACCAATTATACGAGGACAAAATATTATATTTTTATAACAATAAAAAAAATACACCTTTCCGGCGTCCGGCCAAGTTAAATATTCATGCAACTGTATTAATACTATATGCACAATATGGACGATACGCATTCATCCTGTTATCAAAGTTCTAAAGTCATTATTAATAAATAAAAAAAAAGACATACTCGTGCCGGACATTAACCGGACATCGGTTTCATTTTGTTTTGGTTACATACCCTCGGGGTCTCGGAAAAAGCTTGGGGAATAACAACAGCAATGAAAAAAACTTCTGGCCTTCATATTCAACAAAATATACGTACGCATATTTTATATAATATATATTCGCGCACCGTATCGCTACTGAGATTACCGTATACATGTATAGAGAGGTGTATCGCAAACCCTCCGGACGATCCAAAATTACATTAATAACTATACCCTAATGAGCATCAATGGCATCAGTGGTGGTATTTTTTTGTAATGTTTTAAAACCGTTTAATGAAATTTTGCCTAGGGTTGTTGTTTCACGTTTTGTTTTGTTTTTAACATATATCATTTTTCCCTACTTCGACCCCAAAACGGTAATCAGTGGAAAGAAAAATCCAGTAGTATATTTTTTAATGTAGGGATTAAAAAAAAAGCAACCGGGATAATCCCTTGTCCGGTTGGCCCTCAATGTATATTTAATATACCGACGGCTTTGGATTGCGGGCATTAATACTTAAATCTCCATGGAAAGCATTAACTTTTCCTTTTTGAAA